GTATTATTGCATGGTGGATGATTGTGGCTTAGTTATATTTGTTGTAATTTTAAATACGGCCTGCGTGTCGTGCCTCATCTCTATACTCTGGATGTAATTCTCTTCTTTACCTCAAATATTCTTTTCTCTCGAAAATTATAAGAAGATAAGAAGACGAAGTCCGTTCGTGATAGAGAATCCTAAGGAAGACGTGATGGGCTGGAGATAGAGATCTCTTGATCAAGGCGCTATCGTTTGTTTTTCTTTAGGAGCCACAATCATTTCACGTTTACTTATTATGCATGTGATGTATGATTGAATGTATGCATGTATGTGATTTTCGCTAGTGTATACGCGCGGTGTATGCCATAGGCAAAACTGCGTTATAAATCCCTCATAATTTTAAGTCTGTGCCACCCCGACGCCCCGTCACTCGTCAAACCCAATTTAGATCGGTAACGGACTCACCCAAGTGAGACGCCCGGTGTACGTTGGTTAGGCGCGAAACCCGTAACTAGGGTACTGACTCGCCCCGGGTTAGTCTTAACTAAGTCTTGGTCATAAGGATGAGAGACTTAGGGCACTGCAGTAGGATCAATAAATAAAATCAGATCATCCAACCAGAGTTGTAAATTGTTACAATTGGAATTTATTCCTACCAGAAATAATTTAACTATAGGGCAAGATGCAAAGCACAACTATAGTTAAATGAAATATGGATCTGGCCCAATTAAGAATTTTATTTAAAAGAATCCACCAAACCAAGAGTTGTAATAACGATTGCAATTGGAATGAATTCCTACCTAAATAATTTAACTGTAGGGCAAGATGCAAAGCACAACTATAGTTAAATAAAATATGGATCTTGGCCCGCTAGGATATTCTTCAAAAAGAAACCCCAAGTCAATAGGTTCCGTACCTGAGGGTAGTTGACTTGTTAGAAATAGTGGGAGAGTATTTAATAAAGACCTATTAGATACTTAATTCATGATAATAACTATCTTCGCAAAATTATGTAGATGGCAAACAACAACACAAACAACCTCGCCCTGCGTTCCATTCTGGATAAAGATAAATTGAACGGAACAAACTTTGTTGACTGGCAACGCAATCTCTGCATTGTTCTCCGCATGGATGAGAAAGAGTATGTGCTCGAAAAGCCCATTCCTCCTGCCCCTCCCGCTAACGCCCCGAAAGCGGTCAAAGATGCCTA